TATATACATACATCTTTATGTTTTCTGCATCTTCCAAATTTCCTACAATAAATACATAGGGAGCTATATTTCTAAAAACTACAGAACTATTTTGCAATGAGACGTGTAGAGACTTGGGTCATCATCGCAAAGAAAACATGTAAAAGAAAAATGCTTATTCCTTCTTATCCAATCAAAATGCTCACAATTTAAATTCCTGAGGAAATTCTACCACCCTGGAATTGTACTACTTTGTTTCCAGGAATCTGCAACTCTCTCTGAAAGCAGGCTTCTTTCAAGTTAATGCATTTCCCATAAGAACATTATTGTTTTCATGTCCAATATATAAGCCATATCATTTTCAAAGGTAAATAGTATATCAAACAAGAAAGTGTAAGAATTTTATGTCTTAAAAACTAAAGACACTGGATACAATTCCTTGAAGCATGCTTTGCAGAGTTTTCACAATAAAGTTTAAAATATAATTTGTTAGTTTATTCTATATTGTAAAATTTATCCTTTTACATCATAGCAGTCAACTGAAATGATTTGCTAGCTTCTTAAACTTGGGGTTTTAATCATTTCTTAAATGATTTTTTGATAACAGCAATAAAACCTGAAGTGTTTACACCATCCATTCAGCCAGTCAACACATTTATTGAGCACCCTTATGGGTAATATCTGTTGAAGGAATAAACATAGTAAGTGCTGAGTGTACAGCAGTGAGCAATCAGACAAGGCAAAACTGCTGAAACAACCACAATACTCTACTCAAAAATAGTACTTTGCAGAATTGAAGAATCGGAGGGAAAAGAAACATGCAACATCCTAATGGCAAGGTTTTAAAATCCTTGAAAATGCAAATTCCAGTATCAATCTGGAAAACGCATTCATTCTCTACCTTTCACCAGTGCATTTCACAGCTGCTTCTGAAGCTGTATTCCACTATAAGGTATGCTTGATCATGACTGGATTTCACATTGGATTGGTTTTTCCAAAGGAACCAAATGGTTTACATTGGATTTTCCAAAGGAATCAAATAGAAAAGACGAAGGAAGAACTTAAAAATGCTTAAGGTTTAGGAGGAAGTATTTAATGTATCCATTCAGCAATCATTCATTATCTTCCTACTGTGTACAAGATGCCAGGCAGTCTTGGGATTACAGGCAATAGACTAACTTGGAGGAGAAAAATTCCTTATGACAAGCAAACTCTACTCCACCCAGCTTTCTTTTTCATATCACAAATATTTAATGAAAATGATTATTCAATTATTTCTATATCAATGAATTTTCATTATACATAAATCATTCCCTTGTTGAGCTGGCCAAAAACCTGGGGGGAGGCCCTCAATTTTGAGTGGAGAAAGTGAACTTTTCAACTGCGATGCCCATCTTGCAGCCTATAAAAGGTTAGCTTTCTGGCTTACTGGCACACCTTGTGGCCACCTTCCCCAGGCTATGGATCTCTCCAACAACAGCTTGTCTCTCTCAGTGCGCACCCCCGGACTACCCCGGCGGCTCTCCTCGCAGAGTGTGATAGCAGGCAGACCCAGGGGCATGTCTGCTTCCAGTGTTGGCAGTGGCTATGGGGGAAGCACCTTTGGCTTTGGAGCCAGCTCTGGGGGAGGCTTTTCTGCTGCTTCCATGTTTGGTTCTAGTTCAGGCTTTGGGGTTGGCTCTGGAAGTTCCATGGCAGGAGGACTGGGTGCTGGTTATGGGAGAGCCATGGGTGGAGGTGGCTTTGGAGGGCTGGGGATGGGATTTGGGGGGAGCCAAGGAGGTGGCTCTCTAGGTATTCTCTCTGGCAATGATGGAGGCCTTCTTTCTGGATCAGAAAAGGAAACTATGCAAAATCTTAATGATAGATTAGCTTCCTACCTGGATAAGGTTCGAGCTCTAGAAGAGGCTAATACTGAGCTAGAGAACAAAATTCGAGAATGGTATGAAACACGAGGAACTGGGGCTGGAGATGCTTCACAGAACGATTACAGCAAGTATTATCCACTGATTGAAGACCTCAGGAATAAAGTAAGATGATGTCTTTTGGAGGGGCTTAGGGAATTTCGTTTCCTTTTTACTGTTATCATCTCTTACGGTGATAATCACCTACAACTTTGATGTTTTCCAGTATGGCTGTACTTGCAGCAATTTTCTCACCCCAGGTTGTTTCATTCTATTTTATCATTCACCAAGAAGTGATTGTATTTCCTTTATCTCTCTGTAGGAAATCTACATTTAATTCTCAATATTACTTTATACAGACATTGTCTTAGAGAAATGAAACTTACACTCTAAATAAAAAGCATTTAGCATCACCCTTTTTAACCTTTGTGTCAAAAACATATTTGTATAATACTCGTTTTTTAGGACTTCATCTTGCATGTGTCCCTCTTTTCTGCCAGATCATTTCAGCCAGCATTGGAAACGCCCAGCTCCTCCTGCAGATCGACAACGCCAGACTGGCCGCCGAGGACTTCAGGATGAAGTGAGTGGAATACACGGAGGATTGCGGGCATGTCCCACCATGTCTTCTGCCCTCCTGTCCTACCTTCACTGATATAAAATATTTTCAATCTTCTGAAGTTCACATGCTCCATATATTTAGTGTTTTGGTAAATTCACATAGGGCGTTCTAGAAAGTAATCAGAATCTAATGCAATTCACATTAAATGTCCTTAAATTATAAGTTGCTTAAACCCAGAGCTATGGATCACCACGTTTCTAGTGTGCTACTGACTCATGATGTGACTGGCACCATAATTCTGCCAGTGTCTTAAACCTCAATTTTCCATGTATCAAAATGAGTTAATAATTTTTTGCCAAGGGGTTCAATGAAACTATCGTTTTCCTAGTGACACATGCAATGGAGAGACTACCCATGTACTAATTTTTATATTCCTTCCTCCTTTTCCATACTCAACTCTCCCAGACATAAGGAAGAGATACTAATTTCCTTTTTGCTTCACAAAATTTCCACACACACACACACAGGAAGTTGCAATGGCCATGGTCCTGAACCTGTAAAATCTTGGTAAAAGCCACTAAAGAAGTATCAATGTTTTCAGTTAAATCATGAATGTTAAGTGAAAACAGCAACTTATTTTCAATGCTTTTAGAAATTCCACTCAGAGAGGGGCTGCTGCTGTTTATAGCCACGGCAGCCAGCTAGAGGGAAAATTATTTCCTGGGGTGCTGTGCTATTAGGATTCATAGCTGGTAGAAAAGTACTGTCTCACTGATTTTTCACTTTTCTTCTCCTCTCCAACTGAACTGTAAACAAGGGTGGGGAAAATAAAGAAAGGAAAAACACAAAAATAAAAACTGCATCATACGCTACAGTGCTGCATTATTAAGTAGTTGCACAGATTTAAGCAAGAAATTGACCTGAAGATCAGTGGCTTTGTTCAAATGGTTGTGTTGATTCCCTAGAATGCTGTGCACTTGGTTTTCAGGTATGAGAACGAACTGGCCCTGCGCCAGGGCGTAGAAGCCGATATCAACGGCCTGCGCCGGGTGCTGGACGAGCTGACCATGACCAGGACCGATCTGGAGATGCAGGTCGAGAGCCTGAACGAGGAGCTGGCCTACATGAAGAAGAACCATGAGGAGGTGAGTCAGGCAGGGCAGCCTCACTCAGCTGCTTTTTTCTTCTCCCAGACTCAAAACTTACAATTTCGAATTTAGAAATCTGGAGTCGGAACAAGTATGGAGAACACATTGTCTCCCTGATAAAATGACCATTTTTTTTGGATTTCTGTGTGATGTGTATGTGGTGGTGGTGGTGGTGATGGTGGTTCCCGTTAAGGCTTTACAAATTAGAGGCGCTTCCTGATTTTGTCAATTTCATTATAAGGCAATGACAATAGGAATGCTAACTGTCCTAATTCAGTGATTAAAACAAACAAACAAACAAACAAAAAACTGAGTAGGCTGGGCGTGGTGGTTCATGCTTGTAATCCCAGCACTTTGGGAGGCTGAGGCGGGCAGATCACAAGGTCAGGAGATAGAGACCAGCCTGGCCAACATGGTGAAACCCCATCTCTACTAAAAATACAAAAATTAGTTGGGCATGATGGCAGGCACCTGTAATCCCAGCTACTTGGGAGGCTGATGCAGGAGAATTGCTTGAACCCAGGAGGTGGAGGCTGCAGTAAGCCCAGATTGAGCCACTGCACTTCAGCCTGGTGACAGAGCAAGACTCCGTCTCAAAA